TCGACGGTGGTTAATGATGTATGGCTTCTCGAAACTTCGGAACTGCAACAGGAGAGTGGTGTGGAAGACAAATCGCCTAGAGTTACCTGAAACTCGACTGGTTTCATAATGTTCTGGGAATTGTTCTCTTCTAAGATGTAATGAAAAAAGAACGGTTCGAACCCATTTCGTGTCTTTGCAATAGATCTATTACGACTACCTCCAATGTAGTTCAGTTTCTTTCTCGAACAAGAATATGATGAAAATTACGTTGGAATTGGAAACAGGCAGCTTCCTATAGGACGACTTTTGGAAATCCACCCTTTTCAGGGCTAATCACATGCATTCCCCAGAAGCCGAGACGATCATTCTCTGACTTGAACAGCTATTCAGCAGGCTGTTTATTTTTGAACTCGAATGCATGATGACACTGATAGAACCAGGGATTCAATGGTATCACCCGCAGTCAATAGGATATTGGTGTTCGTCCATACAATGTGCGGCACGCAGGTTACCTCGACATTCCGTTCCGATTGTGTTCAGTAAAGTTTCAGCATTTCTGGCAATTTCACCATGCACATGTACTCGTAAGTTTACATCCACCAGAATAGCTATTCTTGTCAAGAATTGGTGTTCTCAGCTTCCTGACCACCTGATGAGCCTCGAACAAAGCGAAGTCGGCAGTATGTTGTCCATAGTCTCTGAGCAATCGTCTCATACTTTCTCTATCAAGCAAAAGGGATTGTGCTACTCTTCTCGATGGAATCTCGGGACAGCATGTGTGCTGCATCTTATCCGGAGGAATACTCACATGCGATATTCCAGGTTATAACTGTTTCATCATGCATACTAGCTCAAAAATAGGCACAGCCATCCTTAATTCGCTGACAGCATGATACAGTGGCATTCACCTATGTCTTTCCTGTATTATGGAACCATACTTTCCACTTTTCCCGAGTACATTTCAGCCTAATTTGTTGGTTTACTTCTACGCCTTATCTGGTTTCTCGAGTTTTCTTGCTTTGGACCACTGACGGAAGACTTGCGGTCCACCGGATAAAAGTAACCGACTTTCAGAGAGAACAAACTTCTATGCTATTGTCAGCTTGTGTCAGGCCACATCCCCATTTGGTATTTCTGCCAGTAGTTTTTTGTGGTAGCCAAACAAACTAATTGTTTACTTGTCAATTCATGGTGTCCCCGTAGGGATTCACTGTTTTTGTCTCTAAATTCGGCGTCTAAAGGACGTAGCTGTTAGCTGCTGTTAGTACTCAGTTGGGATGATTTAGCTAGATAAGCATAAAATCAAACAACAGGTTTTCTATCATCATCTGCAGTTTGCAGAAACTGTCATTTGGTTTGTTCGAGCCTTTACACCACTGAAGTTTGGCTCTGAAGCGCTGCGTTGCTAGCCACAGGACTTTCAACGGATTGTGCTGATTTGAACCAGCCTTTTTTGATATGGTTGAACTATGCTGAACACACCTTATTGATAGTCGGTCCTTATGGGACAGATCTGTTTGAGCGAAATTTCAGAATTCAGACGAACTTCTTTCCAAGCTCTCCTAAAATATTCAGCTTCGTTTTCCCTTGACTGCTGGTCAGTTTCTTTAAATGTCCGACATGCTCACATGCCTATTCTCTTGCGGCTATGAACCGTTTTCTTAGCCACCCAGCCGTATCGTATGATGATCGTCCTAACATCGATAAAACGGAACACTTTTTTTGGCAGTACTTTGTGTGGCTCACTCATTCATCACTATAAACGTCGCTGATTGATTTTTCTTCATCACTCCCTTGTCCAATCATCTACTGTTCTCTTCACGCGCATCCATAAGCCAGCGTTGAAGGTCGAAGTAGTACATATGGAACACTTTCCGACCTTCATTGTGAACTCTCAGGACAGCTTTTTTCCAACTTAATACAATCAAGCAAAATACAGTTCTGTTCAGCTGTAGTGTTCAGGCGACCACTCGCGCATGCATGCACGCACAATCATTAATTTCTAATAAGCAATTCACGCTGGATTTGCGCGTGAGTGACATTGACCTGAAATTTGTCCAATCGTTTGTCAGTCGACCGGTTCAACCCCAACCATATTGTGGGAAAAGTATGGCAGAATGACGAACCAACCCGGATACATTTCCTCAGGGCAGATTATGTTTTCACAATGGCCTTGAGTGTTTACGTTGCACGAAACAGTAGGAACATTCAGCTTATTCTTTTGTCCTCTCTGTCGATCGTTACGTTATTTACGAAGATGAGCAAGAATAAATACAATTTCGTCGCCTAGGTTTAGTTAGATATCTCTTAGATTTCGTCCACACTGAACGCCCATCTCAATGGGACTGACGAATATGCACCAGTGCGTTCGCACACTGACAATCCATACAAACAGCATACAACCGTCAAAAAGCTGTCTCATGTGATATCGCAAATTCGCTTCCTTCTTCTCCCATACAGACCAACTGGATGAGGATGGCTTTCTGAAACTGAATTCCTTGCCAGCGATAAGCGTTATGGAAGAAATGAAACCAGCTGATCGGGTTGCATCATTCATGGATCGAATGGATGAGACGTGAGTATTCGTTTCTCTAACAGTTGTTGGCTGTTGTTGGGTCGATAATAGCGCTTCATCGAATATAACCACCTAGGGAATCCAGTGTAACGAGACTTCCAGCGTCACTGATATTTTGTTGCCTTACGGCGGCCCGCGAAAGCCTGACCCTTGGGACATCAGGTGGGATACCGATCAGAGAGGTTCCATTGATAACGCGTTCGAACTCCGTTCGCTGGTAGCGTAGCACCATATGTATGAATAATTCATAATCTTGGTGTTCATTGACTTCAAGGGTGCGTTTGGTTCCGTCAATGGTTCATTTATTTAAACAAGATTGCTTCACAGGAGAGGCGCGGAAGTTCGTGAGCATAATTTAGTCTTCACATTCATATATTTTCTGGCTTGAATAATGCACCAAGAAGACAAATGCTGCAGACTGTCTTTCAAATCTTTTGGCTTATTAGGGTCCATAGGCGGCTCTCCAAAAGGTTCCCTACTAAAAGTCGGGTGAGCTTTTACCTCCCAGCGCTAGCAGACGACATACGTCAACCTGGCGAAAACCTTTGATACCTCAAGACGACGAATCTTTTGTAGTTTTCACCGTGGAGTCAACAACTGGTTTAGTAGTGCCAAACTGTCATTCCAGCATTTCCTAAGTGACTTCAAATACCATGTGGCGTATTTCAACATTGGAATTGCATTGCTCTCAATATCAGCAGCATGTGATCAATGGTTGTCTCTGTTCCTCGCATAGCGGGAATGTTTCGCAATAACATTGGTTATTCTCTTCCCTTCAATCCTGGTTTAGACCACACCGAACAGGGTTTTCAGGTTTTGAAATGCTGTCATAAAAATACTACAGTTTAGTAACAAGTTTCAATCGTGAGGTACAGCTATGATATTCGGTAATTTATTTGTCCACCCTTTAGTTGAAACTTTCCATTTGAATGGTAAAATCACATTTCGAAAGCAATTGTTAGGTGAACTAAGTCATTCAAATTTCTGATGTGACCCGAACAAAGTAGCACGGCATCATCCACAATGTTTAATTTATTGGGGGTTTTCTCCTGGAAGTAGCTTTACTTATGAGGCAGTAGACAGTTTAACACCTCTATAAAAATCCCGAATACGAATCAGAAAGAATGATGGAGTGCTACCCTGCCGGAAATCACTTTTACTGAGGAGAGGCCATCCGTAGACCCTTGCGCATCCACGGATGTAGGGGTGAACAAGTGTATTAATGCTTTCGGAGCCACGAGGCAGAGCTCTGTTGCACACAAGTCGGTATTGTCATTAGTTTTGTGGAAGCGTGAGGCCAAAATGACATTTATCATGGTTGTAGACAGTGACTTTGTGAGTGGATCATGACCTTTGTCGATGTCTTCGCTTACTGTAGGCCTTTTGTGTCAGTCTTCCGATTGCAGTAAAATAGAACATATCTCTTTTTAGAAAACGTTTGGTGACAATCGGTAGATTTATTGCTGGGCGACGTTTCGCCTTTGGACACAAAAGCTTCGTCAGGCCAAGTGACTAGGTTCCGGGGTTGGTCGAGATTTAAGCCGGAAGGGGAACCAATCAGCTAAGTCAAGTTAAATCTCTGTTGGATGTCGGCCGAGGGATTTTTGTGTGTTAGAGTGGTTGAACAAGTGTTGGGTCGGTGGGGAACCTACATGTGTTTGGGTCCAGCCTAGGGTCTAGTTCTGGTTCGGTTTACTTGATGGTTCCTCTTGAACTTCGTTTGAACCTTCTGTCAGTCTGTGTGGGTGAGCTAGTGCTAAGAAGGTTGTGTAAGAGGGATGCTGTGACCTTTGGTCGGTTGGGGTTTCCACCCCCATCCCCCGGTTTTTTCTAATGATCCTAAGTGGATTGACAACCACACCGTCACGTGTCAACTCGGCTTATCTGAGACCGCTTTCCATACGCTCGCTAGCTCCACACCCTCGATTCTATTCACGCTGTGATGCTTAGTGATTTCCACCGCCTCGGCTATCAGCCGTTGTGGTGTGAATCACAGTCGCCGTCTTAAGACTTCTACATTCTCCAGATCTATTCTATGTCCCGTGTCTAAGGCATGTACTGCCATCGCTGAGTCTTTGACCAGCGTTTGGTATTCTTCTGCATTCCTTGGTGGTTTGTTATTCCTTCTTTTATGCTCACCAATTCTGGTGTGCAATTCCCTGGCAGTTTGTCCTATATAAACCTTAGCGCAATCGTTGCAGTTTATTTTGCACACACAGCCCCTAGTCCTTTCAGCCGCTAGGGGATCTTTCAGTTGCATCAAAACTGAGCGTAGCGTTTTTCCCTTCTGAAAAGCTACTCGAATGTTGGCTGAGTTCAACAATCTTCGAATAACCTCCGATATTCCTGCTTTATATAGAATGACTGCTGTGCCAATCCATTCCTTACTGGGTCCAGATACTGGAGCCAATATCTTCCTTAGTTGATGCCTAATCAAACTCACTGGGTATCCTATTTCTTGAAGTTTGTTGGCAATCTCGATTTGAGCTGCCATCCGATCGATCTCTTCTGTGCACAGCGCTCTAACTCGACGAAACATCGATGAGACAATACTGGCGTTCACGGACCTTGGATGTGCTGATGAATAGCTTAAGACGGTTCCTGTGCTGTTGGTTTCTGGTAGATAGTCGTTTTCAATTTCCCACCAACCTTATGTTTTATACAGTCCAGAAAGGGTAATGTGCCCGAGGTGGACTCTATTTCCATGCTAAACTTAATGTGTGGGTTTAAACTATTGAGATAGTCGTGGAAGTTGTTCACGTTATCTCATCTGATTACAACGAACGTGTTGTCAACATAACGCCAAAAAACTTTGGGTGGACAATGATATCCGGCCAAGGCTATTTGTTCGAAGTCCTCCATGTAAATATTGGCTAAAAGTGGGGATATTGGAGATCCCATTGCAAGGCCTTGTTCTTGTGAGTAAACAGTTGTGTCGAAAACAAACTTATCAAGATTCAAACACACTCTTATGCCCTCAACTATTTCATCCACCGAGAGCTGTGTCCGTTCCCCGAGTGTCGTGTCTGCCAGTAACAACCTATTAGTTACCTCCAGAGCATCTGCCCTAGGGATGTTTGTGTACATTGAGATTACGTCAAAACTCACGAGGACTTCATCCGCCTCCAAAGGAAGCCCTGCGACTTTGTTGGCAAAGTCATACGAATTCCTAGTGAAGGTGCTTGATTTCCCTGTGAGCGGTTTTAGTATACCAGCTAAGAATCTGGCCAGTTCATGCGGCGGCGAGCCTATACCATCCACTATTGGCCTTATCGGTACATCTGCCTTGTGGATTTTTGGCAGTCCGTAGAGTCGCGGTCGAATCGCACTTTTTGAATACAACCGATACCATTTACCTTGCCCTAAATGGTTTATTACGGATCTTAAATATCTCCCAACTTCAACCTTATTCATTATTGAAGTAATACTGCTACCGGTAATTTGTCGGTAGGGTCCATCGGCGAGGTGTTGCCCGACCTTTTGAAGATAGTCGCTCTTATTCATCACTACTGTGGGTTTACCCTTATCGGCTTTGGTAATGAAAATACTATCTGCCTGTCTCAGTGTGTTCAGCGCTCTCCGCTCTGATGGTGCAATATTTGGAACTCCTTTAGCGGAAGCTGAGAAGCTACGGATACAACTGGTCACAGTCCTGAAATCCCAATAGCCGGGAGTTCCAAATATTGCACCATCAGAGCGGAGAGCGCTGAACACACTGAGACAGGCAGATAGTATTTTCATTACCAAAGCCGATAAGGGTAAACCCACAGTAGTGATGAATAAGAGCGACTATCTTCAAAAGGTCGGGCAACACCTCGCCGATGGACCCTACCGACAAATTACCGGTAGCAGTATTACTTCAATAATGAATAAGGTTGAAGTTGGGAGATATTTAAGATCCGTAATAAACCATTTAGGGCAAGGTAAATGGTATCGGTTGTATTCAAAAAGTGCGATTCGACCGCGACTCTACGGACTGCCAAAAATCCACAAGGCAGATGTACCGATAAGGCCAATAGTGGATGGTATAGGCTCGCCGCCGCATGAACTGGCCAGATTCTTAGCTGGTATACTAAAACCGCTCACAGGGAAATCAAGCACCTTCACTAGGAATTCGTATGACTTTGCCAACAAAGTCGCAGGGCTTCCTTTGGAGGCGGATGAAGTCCTCGTGAGTTTTGACGTAATCTCAATGTACACAAACATCCCTAGGGCAGATGCTCTGGAGGTAACTAATAGGTTGTTACTGGCAGACACGACACTCGGGGAACGGACACAGCTCTCGGTGGATAGAACATATCTCTTTTCGATAAGGCCGGCCTTTACCAGTTCCTGGTCTTCATTTACTCATACTCGTGGTCATTTTTCGGGCTCTTGTATCGCTTCATAAATGGAATACGAGCGTTTTCGGGGAACGGACACAGCTCTCGGTGGATAGAACATATCTCTTTTCGATGCTCAAGGCCTTTACCAGTTCCTGGTCTTCATTTACTCATACTCGTGGTCATTTTTCGGGCTCTTGTATCGCTTCATAAATGGAATCTGTACGAGCGTTTCAAAGGGCACAACAGTCCTGAACACGATCGCCAGTGATAGCTGATCGTCATTGGTTCTGAATGCACGGTTGCCTGTGCTTTATATATGCTGGGAATCGTTTGCGATGAACACCTAATGAGTAGACTGACCGTACGCTGGCTTCGTGGTGAATCATTTGTTCGCTTGGGCAACGTGCTAGTATCCAAACTCATGCATGTCCTTCGGGTTGCATGGTAGCCGTATATCGTAAGGTTGCCACAGCTAAGCTTATTGCTATTCGAAATCCATAGTAAAGACGGGGAGCTGTGCGTCGGGTGGATCGTCATTATGCATCAAGTGGGACTTCTGCAATTCTCGTAGAAAGTATTAGATCATGACTTTTACTTGAAAATCGTTTCTGGTATTCAAAGTATGGCACTGAAAGGATCAGAGAAGTCGGTTGATTGCGTCTATCTCCTATGTATGGGGCACCTCCTGGCTCGAGTGGCGGTGCATTGTGTCAACTGTCATGCTTCCTACGGATCGTATGAAAGGATGCCAGTGGTTTGATCTTTCGTCTCCTCTATCGCTGACCATATAGATTGAACTGAAGAAACGGGCAGCACTGCAAACTTCTGCCTCTTTGCTATGGTTTCCCCGAGCGATATGCAAAGACTTCTGTACTATGCAGCTGTTTTTCTCATCGAATTTGCTCACACAGCTCTTCGCCTCGTTTACTTCTTTCATTAGAGCTAGAAACTAATCCTTGTCCATCGTTTACCGAGTTCCATATTGTCCGCTCCACATTCAGAATGGAATACGAGTCTACCATCGCTCCGAATTCTGTTGCCGGTCAAGATACGGAGGATGAAGAAGAGGCTGGTAAGTGTGGCTGGTGCATGGTGGTGTTTTAGGTGGCTTTCAGATGGATCTTTTAATCATAATCAGCTCGATATTTGTTATTGAAGTATTCAATAGGTATATTTCACTGCCTATAGTATAGCTTATTTCAGTGTTCTACTGATAGGACTACCATCACTACTTTTTCTGGGTTCAGGCGATCTCATTTGACGTGACCCCTCTGAACGTGGATCGTTACCCAGTTGAACCGTGTCATTGTCTCGCTTCTTTCCTTATTACGAGCCACAGTAACCTCTCAAACGATCACAAGGATAATCTCGTGTGGATAAAGATGGCATGACACTTACAGTTCGGGATCTTTCACCCTCAGGCTTTTCACTAATCCCGTCGTGCAATCCACACAAAATTGCGAAATCCCGAATTGTCTTACAAATTTGCTTTGGTTTTCAGGTAAATGAAGGCATTCTACAAATGGCAAACTACCGATATAAATCGCTGTTGAAAATATCGTTCCGAAGTGATATTTAATGGAAAATCGATCTAATTGATCTCACATCATAGTTCCAGTTCGCCTTGTTTGCATGTGAAAGAATGACACGACACAAATACTTATTTGGAGCAATCCTCTGTTGCTTACCGGTCCATACAAAAGTTCCAGGTATTCACTAATCTTGGTACCCTCATCCGTTGAATTCTTCTCTATTCACATTCCACGTTTTATTTTCTGTTGGTTGAGAAATCGAAAAGGCTGGTAGGTATTCCGCCTTTGTAACTTCCCGGAGGAAACCATAAGCAATGCATTCCTGTCGCACATGTTCACCGATCGATCGACAACCCGTTATCGATTTCCCCTAGTCAGCACGTATTACTATGCCGTTTACTTACCCGTATTTCGGCCATATGTATACCTCTGTTGAATTAAGTTAACATTATCAGTGTGCTGCCCCGTTTCACTCGCCCCAATGGCTTCTCTGTTCCGTTCATTTCAGTTCGTAATGCAGAGCCAACTGAATGCGTTGAAACTTACGGTTCGTTGATTTGTGTGATTGTTGTATGTGCACTGCCCACCCTCGTTTTCATGCTTATAAGCCTGCTTATCCGACTGCTTGCTCGTATGTTGCGGTTTCTCGTCATCGCTGTTCTGTGTGCTTCCGTTCAAAACTCAATGTTGTTGCTGCCGATCACAAAATCGTCTCGTTTGGCAAGACGTGAAATGTTGCATTGATGTCCGCTTAGCATCGCGTTGTCCTGTATCACCAGTTTCGTTTCTCTGTTAATTAGCGCTTGTCACCAAGATTATGTAAATTACGCTGTTGAGCTCGAAAACAGCCATTAAACATGAGGGAATGGGTGATCACTGTAAGCCCCGACTTGGATCATGCAGAATATTCAGCACTTCTTTACAGAAGGGGACGAGTGGAATCGTATAACTTTGTCAGGTATTCTTTTCGTTGTTAGCTACGGTAGCTTACAATATATCCGCCATGTCATTATCAGTGTTTTTCTCACATTTTCGTGAGTATATATTAGGCAGCCACACATGTGGATGCCTGACCGACTTGTCGATTCGAATCTGCGTATTTGTCTGAGAGCGTTTTCGTCAAGTTCGCACACTACACGCAACAAACCATGGGTATGCGTTCCACCAGCCTCCATAGCTTTCTCCGGTTATTCCTACTGGTAATCCCTTTTCATCCAGAAGTCTCGCCGCTCCAATGACCAGCATGGTTCTGTTCTTTGTCGGCCGTATTGAGAAGCGCGATACTTCGAAGCACGTAGCAGTGAGTATTTCCCAATTTCGTCCTTTCCCCATTTCATCTTATGCGGAAACCAGATTTGCATTGTCTTTGTTCACACAGTAGAGTCTCCGTAGAGCGAGTATATGCCATGGAAATTTTGTCGCAAGGACTAAATCAGCGGAATTTTAACCAGTTTCGCGACTCGCCACAGTGAATTAATACACCTGTTGTTCAGTGGGACAAATGCTTTGACACAAACGTAGGATGGGACTGCAGGTTTTGCACCCTTTTCGAATTAGCAAGCTACTTTTCGTTATGATACCTAGTTTGAGGTCTCACCGGAACTGTTCTGCGGGTTTCTGGGAGGGGAATCTGGAAGAGTTTTCTGTGGGAACCTCTCAAGGCTGTTTGCTCAGATGTCGTC